CACTGTCTTCGTCGTTGAATCGGGAACATAATTGCATGGCATTCCTAACATGATGGCTGTTAAAAGATACAAGCGATGGAAAACAGTTTTAGTAGGTGCTTTGCCATGATTGGATGATGTGTAACCCCTAATAGTAATGAGTGCTGAAATAAGCAATCTCCAAAAAAGTGAAATAAACTCGTTTTCTATTTTAATAAAAAAAGTGACAAGTCAGCTAACTAAATATCAATTTTCTTGTGCAATTTTATTTACTCAAAAAGTGAGAAAAGTTAAAAGTTATTAAAAAGTTAGAAAGCTACATACATTTCTTACGAACTAGTTTTTACACTAGTAAGGGTAGAAAGTAGATCAATAAGAAGGTCGTGAGCATCTCTAGCATAATTTCTTGAGGGGGGAGGGAGAGATTAGATTAAATAGGCAATTAAAATTGCTCCCATGATTTCAAATTTTAGAAAAAATCATTTCATTGCCAGTGGGATGATAATTATTTTGTAAAGGAAAAAAAAACCTTAGCTTTTTTTTAACTTAGCTAAATTTGAATCGGTGGTAATTTGTAAATATTTTTTTTAATTTATCTGAATTTTGCAGGGAACTTTTATAAGTCTTAAAAATCGGCCATCCCGAATTACCCTTGATCTAATGATTGACGACAACCTATCCTTAAAGATGCTAATTAATTAGAGCAGACGATACTTTAACCATACTTTTTGCTTTAAGAAAATCTAAATTATATTTTAAAATTGCTATAAACATTGTTTTAAACATTCTTTAAAACAATGTTTAAAACAATGCAACTATAAACATTGTTTATGATTTTGCCGATAGTTCATGATTCCTTTAATTTTTGAAGGATTTNTGAGCGCCATCTGTTGGCCTTAAAAGTTAATCTGTTTCAAACCATACTTTTTGCTTTAAGAAAATCTAAATTGTATTTTAAAATTGCTATAAACATTGTTTTAAACATTGTTTAAAACAATGTTTAAAACAATGCAACTATAAACATTGTTTATGATTTTGCCGATAGTTCATGATTCCTTTCATTTTTGAAGGATTTCCCTGGGAACTCTTACAGTTTCTTTTTTTTTTTNCGTTTAAAAACAGGCAAAACAAAACATTTATTTTAAATAAAAAACAACAAAAAACAAAACAAAACACAGCGTTCCAAAGATATTTAAAAAAGCCAATTCAACGATATTTTCAGTTCTCTCTTTTTTCTCTTGCCATACTCAGAGTAACCTACATATTCTGAATACTTTTGGTGGCGCCAACTAATTGGAGTAAGTGTTTGCCGCAACAATTATTAACTTGGAAAAGTTTAAATTTGCCCAATTTTTAATTTTTTTTTTGTTGAAAACTTTAAACATTATTAACTTGGAAAAGTTAAAATTTGTCCAGTTTTTAAAATTTTTTTTTGAAAACTTCAAACATTATTAACTTGGAAAAGTTTAAATTTGCCGTTTTTTTTTTTTTTTTTTTTTTTTTTTTTTTTTTTTTTACTTCAAACATTATTAACTTGGAAAAGTTTAAATTTGCCCAATTTTTAAAATTTATAAGAAAATACAGATCATATTAAGAGCAAGTGTAACTAATTTACTTCAATTAAATAAAAATTAATTAAGAAACACATATGCGGGAAATCGTATACGCGAACTTCTCTCCCTACTATCGGATGCCTTTCACCTATCAATTTGCTAGTGAAAGTGTTTAGAACCTTCGAAAAGGATGCTTTTAACGTTGGGATTGAATTAAATTTCTGATTTTACAGATAATTTATGAGCATTTTTCCATTTATTTTAGGAATAGATTTAACAAACATAATTTTTCGCATACATATTTATTGTTTCCTATAAACGCACCATTAATTAGCTTCTTGCACAACGAATTTTAAAATGAAACGGAAAATTTTAGTGATCCAAATTATTGTGGACTCTTATGCAGACATCTATATAATTTTTGTATAATTTTTATTAAATTTTACTTTAGCTACTTTTAAATATTTTCAGAATATTTAATAAAAAAATGCTTCGCAGTTATTCCTGTTTTTACACTAAATTCGTGCTTTTCTGAGAATAAAATATAGGTGAGTTTTAAATTAGTACTAGTGGGCTGCGCCCCCTGCTCGCTAACTCTCGCCAACCCCCGAAAATTGCTACGCAATCTTATATGGTTTGCTTCGCAAACCAAGCTCGCTTCGCTCGCTACTAACTTAGGTGCTACATTGCAAATGCAGAAAATTCTAAGAATTCAAAACAATCATTCAAATCCATATAATAACTTTTTTTAAAGAAAAAATTGCATCTTTTTAGTGAATACTAAGTCATTAAAATAAATTTGAATTCAAACAAATGACATGTAATTCGTTAAACCTATTAGAAATGTGCTATAGTATAAAATCTTAAGATAAAATTTCTAAAACTGATATATCTTTAAGAAGGTTAAAATTTTGGCAATAATTAATCGTCAAATAAATTTTTAATATATAAATTCGTGAAAAAAAGCGCTTTTTACAAGCTTAATAGTATGAGATTGCCGCAGCGTGATAGTGTAAGTGTGATAGCTGACATTTGGTGAGAATGCTCTCTCTGGTTATTTCAGTTTCTGTTTTTAAAAGCGCTATATGTTGAGCCACCTCAGGTAGATTTGGCATGTGACATTTTTAGCGGCAATCATTGGTTGATTTTCCAGCGTTGCCATTCGGGGAATTTTAATGAGGCTTGTTTTTGTCGCCGTGAAAGAGAAATATATATATATATATGATAAATAAGAATGATAAATAAATAAAATTAGTTTAATAACTATATCGCAAATAATGTGAATAAGAATTACTATAATTTTCATAAATATTTTTCCTCTGCAACACATTTTCTATTAGAAAAAAATTACAAAAAGTGTTTTGAAAAAATCATAAAACTGAAAAGTTTTCAAAACAGTCACGCCTAGGATTGTTTTAAAGTTGATCTCAACTTCTGATGCGAAATTAAGAAGGGTTATTTTCTTTTTTAACTTTTCTTTATTTTTTTCACGCATTTCTTTTTTTTTTCACACTTTGTTTCTTACACAAATGTGGCTTTATATTCAAAACGCTACAGTCTGAGCACCGATTAATTTAATTTAGGAATGAAGAAAATATCTTGAAATTTCTTTGGCAATACCAGTCCTGCTGAAGACCAAATTAAAATACAGACCGGAGAGGAATACAGAAAGAGGCTCCACCTTCGGTTTGAAAACGTATCTTAGTTTGAAATGATAACGACTACATCTAATGATTCTGCCATCTAGTGAGATGTATGAGACATAAAAAGAATTCTCATTTTTTTTCCTTTAGTGTCGTAAATTTGCTTTTCATGTGACTCACGCGCCATTAAAAAATTTTTAATTTTTAATTTATGAAAAACAAAGCAAAATATTAATCTTTTTTTTTCTTTTTTTTTCAAATTAGAAATAGTAAAATAAATCCTTTATGATGAAGGGAAAAAAATTTACTCTCTGTTATTAAATCTTCAAACAGAAAAAAATTTGTACTTGAATAATTTGCTGTAACATTTGATATTACTATTTATATTACATTAATATTACTATTTATTACATAAATATTTATTATGAATAATAATTATTATAAATAAATAATTGTTATAAATAAATAATTAATTATTATTAACAATTGAAGCTTCATCTGACATTCAAATAGGCTATGATATTTTTTTTTAATCTAACCGCCTTCAGCAATTATACTTTTTTTTCTTTATTCCTCTCTTAACATGCGAATAAAAGCATATTAGCAGTATATATGCTGACCGAAATCTTCAATTAGAATCAATAATAAGTATACAAAATTACCGATTTTGTTACTGGCGCTGTCTTCTAGTAATGATTATTATAATAAACTAAGAGAAAGTATTGTATAAAAAAACTAGTTTTTATTGCAAATAGCATGTAAATTTTCCTAATTTTTTTCAAGAAGACTCTGTGTTTATAGATAGAAAAGAATTTTTTTCTTATTAAGTTATTTTTTCGCTAGTTTAAAATTGTACATTAATCCTCTGTGATGACAAATCAGAAGTTACTGTTAAAATTTAAAGAGAATAATTTGCTAATTTAAATCATTGTAAAAGTGTTACAAATTTCTCTTTTCCAAAGTATTATTCGTAAAGGGTGAGGTAAAAAAAATTTTTTCATTAGAATAAAATTTTCTTTTTATTTGAAATAATAGTAAATTCTAAAATTTTTCAGAGTTTACATATCAACTTTATGCTAAACAAATCAATACTAAACAAAGTAAAGATGTAAAAAAAAAGACTTACTTCATATATATGTGTTTATGAGTAAAAATTATTTTTAGTTTAATATTAACGTAATTTGCTCCTAAAATTAAAATAATTTTAAAAATTAAGAACTTAATACAATTTGAATAATTCCATTTTTAACTTAAAAAAAAGAAATAGATATAGATAGTCAAAACTTCTAGTTTTTACATGTTTAGAAATTGATATTTTTCTTCAATTGCTTAGGACAGTTCTTTACCGAAATTAAAATATTTTAAATCAAGCATTTTTGTTAAGCTTTATTCATAATTTTTTTGTAAAAGAAATAAAATAAAAAAACTAGAATAAATTCTTTTTGTCATTTTATTAAATTAAAAATAAAACACTAGAGTTGTTTATGCGAAGTTAAAATTCCTCGTAATCGTCACTAAATTATAAACGTTATCACTAAATTGAAATGTTGAATTTAAAAAATATATATAATTTTGTTACTAAAATTTAAATTAAAAGTATATATTAAAGCATAACTTGATAAATTTGAAATAAAAAAAATTATATAAATGCAAAATAAGTGTTTCATAGTTAATTTATAACTTTATAATGCTTTAAAAGATAAAATACAAAATCTTTGAAACTTGCTTCCCAGGGCATGTTCAATGCTTCATTGCAAATGAGGCTTTAAATTTACAACGCTTCAGTTCGAATATCTCCTATTTTTATTGAGGAATTAAACAAATATCACAAAATTTCTTTGGCAACGGCAGTCCTGATGACCGATTTAAAAATCGCACTAAACGTAAACAAATTTGGCATCTGATTATACAACTTTTACTTTATTTAATTAATACTGCTGATTAATATTTTTCCGTAAGGTATTGTATCCGAAAGTTGCATCTTTCTTCTCTGATATTTTTTTCTACTTCCTCCGATTTGTTCTAAAATTTATATCTCAATTAGCAATTTTAGTTCAAAATGAGGAAGTGTTAAATGTTTTCGATATATGTTTTTTTTTCATCTTTATGTATTAAAAAAATGAATCATAATTGTTGTAGTATATAGTGCGAGTATTGTTCATGATTTAGTATCTAAAAAATTGAACTTGCCCAGGTTTATCACAGTTTTTGACATCAAAAATCCAACCGTCGTTAAGTCTGTAATTTTAAAATTTGGATAAGCTTTAAATGGTGAAAAACCTTCAACAATATTTTACATAAATCTCACTGGCTGATGAATTACTATGAGAGAAAGAGTTGAGTAACACCTGGCATTTAACTACTGCTGTTATTTTTACGAAATCACTTGACACTAGTTGCAGACTAACATCCTTCTATTTAGTGTTAAATGACGAACAGATATTAGGGAAGATTAGTTAATCAGAATAGCCAAAGAAACCATTTTCAATAATTTTTGCGACATTTTCTAAGTATAATATATAATATAAATCATAATTATAATAGTATATAATGGAAGTGTAGTGCGGCATTTAGTATCTAATAAAATGTCTCCAATGTTAAANGTTTGCCCGGGGGTGGCTACGAGTTATACCTTTCGAGTTGGTCCCTTTCTGTGATTTTTTTATTTAGTTTCTCCCTTGTCCACTGCCCAGAAGTTTCCAAAACTTGGCAACTATTCTGGCACAGATCAGGATACTCACCCTAGATTTTGATATTTGGTTTGTTGAACCACTAAATTAATGAGTTATTTGAACATTTGTATTGAATTAAAAAGTTAGCCGTTACATTATTTTTTAAGAAAAGAATAAAAGTATTTATATTCACTTTTTATAAAATGTTTTAATTAATGTAGAAAAATAATGTAGAAAAATATATAATTCTTTTAATGGCATCTTAGTAAGTATAAAAAAAAATTTTTGAAAAAAAATATGTACTTACTGCAAAAGTATTTATAATGCTAAAGAAAGATGAGCAAACATATTTATTAATGAAAATATGGTGAAATTTTGAGTTGAACACTTTTTTTTCAATGCAAACAATAAATTTTCAATATTCTTCAAAAATTCCTATCTTTTTCCCCTGTAAATTAATGTGAATATGAAAGTTTCTCATTATTTCTAGGCCTTCTGCAAATATTTGCACTAGTTGTGATTACATTTCATCTGTATCATTTTTCACTTCCGTTTCTGCAATACTTTTTTCAACCGACACTACACCACAAGTTTTAACATTTTCATCAACTGATGCATAAACATCAAAATGGGATGCTTGTGGTGTTTACTCTGAAGTATCTCACTTTCTTTTTCATTATTAATACATATTATGTTTTTCTTCTCAAAACAAAATGACATAAAAGCTTTTTTTTTTCCTAATGCCAGATAAAATTTATGAACAGTACCCACAAAAGTATTTAAGTTTCGAGAATGATCTTAACAGGTTTTATTAACATAATACGAATAGCATTTGTGATGGAACCAGTTAAACAAGGCGATATATACAAGAAAACAAACTGTGCAGGAATTGTGGATTGAGGTTTAACTGTATTACAATTTTGACTGCCTGAACCTCTTTTACCTATAACTCACTCATCCTGATTAGATTTCAATTTAAATAAATAATCCCAAGAAACTAAAGCTGTAAGACCTAAAAAAAACTGAATCTTCTACCTGATTAAAAACTTCATTTGCTTCAATGATAGGCGCCAGTTTTTAAGACTTGCTAGACATGAATGTAGCCAAACAAAAATTATCTGAAATTAAAAAAAACATAAAGTTGCCAACGGAAAATGGAAAATTTTCATTGGCAACTTAAGCAATGCAATGAGAGATATGCCTTATCAGCTTCTTTTTTTTTATCTCATATTTATTGGTCATTAAGGTTTAATGCTTATCAAATATCTAAAAAAGAATTATACATGGTAATGTAACTTTGAATGTGATATTTTTTGGCAAAATTTGATTCATGTGCTTCAGATTAAACTAATTCTGGGTGCCTTTTGAGAAATCGTCGGTTAATTTTAGAACTTTTTTGGTAAATGTGAATATCTAAATTAACAGCTAAAAAGGAAATTGCCTTACAAAAATTTTTGTAGCATAGCATTTAATTTTCCAGGTGAAAAATATGAGTAACTTCAACATTTTTGTAACTTATGGAGATCACACAAAGCTGTTCTCCTGCTCATCTAGAAGAGAATTTGGATCAAAAGTGGCACGGTTTTTTGGCTTAGATCGCTCTGAGATGCAGCTGCTTGAAGTCAGTAGAGGTTCTCGAAATCCCATAACAATAAACGATTTAAAAGACAAAATGAAGTTGGAATTAAGAAAAAATGGTATTAAATCAACTTCTGAAACTAATGGAGAAAGGTAAGGAACAAACTGCACTTAACAAGTGCATACAGTCAAACTCGCTTATAATGAGCCCGTATTTAACAAGAACCCGGATATAACTAAGAAATATACTAGGTTGGTAGAATGTTAATTCTATTGAAGCTAAGCTTTTTTTTAACGAGTAACCCCGATTTTAACGTGCAGTACTTTAGTATTTCATAAAATTTTTAACTTAAAGTCACCTTTCCAGCTTAGATAATATCTTCTACAAAATCTATATATTTTTATGTTTTTCAAGTTGAAGAATATGCTTTTTCATGCAATTATGTTTTTCGAGCAATGAGTTTTATTCAAAGAGCAATTGCACAACTAAGCGACAATAAAACAATTCAAAGCAAATAAACTCGTTTCTTTTGCACTGTTAAAGAATTTAAAGAAAAAAAAGTACAGTGTAAGTAGGACGTAGCAAATTAAGTATGTATGAACTTTTATGCTTTTTCATGAACTCGTTTTTTACGAGCTTTCTGTAATGAGCACATATAGCAGTCCCTACGTTCACGTTCGTTATGAGCTAGTTTGACTGTATTTATTTATTTTAAAATCTATTTATTTATTTTAAAATCTATTTATTTATTTTAAAATCTATTTAATTGTTAATTGACTTATATTAGCTGTCAAAATCTTTAATTTTCATTAAACTTTTATTTGCTTCCTCAGACTAAATTTCTTAATTATTACCCTTGGTAAATCCTTTTATGGTAGTAATGAGATTGTAGTAAATGAATGTGTAGCTGAGTATTCTTTTGGCCTTCCAAATGTTTTGCATCGTTTTGAGGAAATAGAATTGAGTTCCTTTTTTTTTATCTACAGTTAAATTAAGCTTTTTTTTATGATTTTTCATATATTGAGTATTAAAAACATATAAAAGTACTGATGTTTCCTGAAACATGGTAAACCAAACAGTTTTTTTTTTCTTCCACTAATTATTGCTCTACAATTTGACTTGGATAACCATAAAGGAAATTATCAGTGCTCTGTTTGACCAGCGATTGAAAGGTATGCTGTTTTTATCTTGGGTTTTTTGTTTTTATCACAAAATATACTATTTCATCATAATTTAATTCTTTTTTTTTTTCAAAAGAGATTTTATCGTGAAAATTTAGTTAAACTTGTTATCTGTAAAAATGAGTACAGAACCAGTTCTTTTTTTTCCCCCTCTGGTTTTCTTGGTTTGAACCTTTTTTTTGGAGGGGAGGGGTTAAAACAATATGTTGAATAATGTTTAAAAGCCCTTAATTAAAATGAACTACACCATTACAAAATATCTCATAGTATTTAACTATATTCCATTTACGTATTTAATTAATGTTTTCAATAATCAATTCCTTAATCAATAATGTCTTTTCAATAATCTCTTTTGTTCCTTAACTATGCTAAGATAATAATAGAAAAAAAATCTAATTACTTTAAGTACGTTTTTATATTACTTTACAACTCCACTTAACATGCAAATTTTATTATTTAAGCACTTAACATTGAAATTTTATTTTAATAATATATGCTTAAGAGTGATTTCTCCACTTGCTTATCTATAATATAAAAATGTTGTACTTCGACAAAAGTCCAAGCAAGTAATAAAGCTCTACTGCGACATAAATAAACGATTACTGCTTTCGTATTATTTATTTAATTTCACTATTGAGCGGTATACAATTTATAATAGTAGAAATCAAATTTTATGAAATGCGCATTTCTTATTTTATATAAATTGAATGAACACTAATTTTATTATGTTTAAGGGAATATATTGTTATACATTTTATATTACAATGAAACCTGTCGGGAGCGACCACTCTCCTTTCCACCGTAAAATTGTCGTTCTTAGAGGATCGTTCTTCAAAATCGTTATCGAAGGTACATGATTTTTTGCAAACAATTTTAATTTTAGTCAGTGTTATTTTCTTGGTGTGGAAAGACGGATAGATGAATTAAATTTAGCATCAGTAAAAATTATCCCAATTGATATAATTACGTGTAAAAACAAATTTACCAATTATGAACGATAAAGCAATTTTAAATAAATAAATATGTTCTTTGTTTAAATTTGCATTTAATTTTATATCCGAAAAATTACTTAGCTTTAAAAGATGGGAAGAGGTTTGTTTGTTTGAGATGCTTGTTTTTTCTAAACTGACTTTTTTTCTATTTTGTTTTTCTAATATGTTTTTTCTAATAAGGGTCAAATAAAGTAAATCATTGATAGCATCGTCATTAATGCATTCTGACTGCAACATGAGGTTGTATCATCAAAAAGAGCTTCACAGAAATATTTTGAATGCATTTTTATCTACCTATTTGTTTTAATATTTTTCCTGTTTCCTTATTTGACTTTTTCCGCATGTAGGGCAGATGTTTGGCCAGTCGATGGGAGAGGTTTTAATGGTCTCTTCTTATAGTTTTCTTCAACACAGATTGTATGAGAAAAAATTATGTGCCTCCCAAAAACCGTCGTAAATAGATTTCCTGGAGGTTTCACTGTATTAATAATTAAAAATACTTGAAAATAATGGAATGAAAAAGTACAAACGAGACATGGGTTGCATAAAAAATAGTAATAGTTTTAGAACTAAAGGTTTCATAATAAAATAAATAAAATATAACTACTTTTGTTCATTTATTTTAACATAATGGAACTGTAATTATAATTATATCGGATTTTGTAGTTGTCCTGAAATTTCTAATTTTCCTAATAAAAAAATATTTCGTCCTTATTTTTTTAGCTTTTTGTCCTAATGTTGATTTTTGTGTGGTTTCACGACATCTCATTTTCTACAAATACTAATGCAATACTTAAAATAATTGATTTGAGCTGAGTGGTGAGAGATTTGGATTTTTGATCAAATATCTCTTTGTTTTAATTAATAGTTCACTTAGAAAGTTACTTTGAAAACAAACGCTAAGATGTATATTCACTGTGTTTTCGTTTTGAAATTATGGAACTCCCACTTGAAAATATGCAATTAAAGAAGTCGTAAACTTTATTGCGAATTTTAAATAAATATTGGTAGGAAGGAATTTTAACTTATTAGTACTGATAATTTGTCTAATTCAATGATTTAATAGTATCATTGAAATTTCCTAAATATCGATCTTAAACTATTATAAGTTGCTTAGTACTCCATTAATAGAATTCTACTGGAAAAATTGTTAAAAAAATTTTTTTTATTCGGAATAAATCTCAAGGGAATTAATAATCGTATATTTTATCCTTTTTTTTTATTATTTCGCAATAAAATTTGCTTTTATTGTACTAAAGTAGAGCAAATTATACTTTTTTTGGTTTGTTTTTTTGTCCTTTTTTAGTGTTATCTGATACATGTATACTGTACCAAAGGAAATAAACGATGATAATATTATAAATGAATTCTAAATATTTTTCAGAATTATTCTTTTAATACAAAAGTATTTTGAAAATGCTACAAAAATGAATAAAACCATGATTCAACACAAATTTGCTTTTATTGTACTAAAGTAGAGCAAATTATACTTTTTTTAGTTTGTTTTTTTGTCCTTTTTTAGTGTTATCTGATACATGTATACTGTACCAAAGGAAATAAACGATGATAATATTATAAATGAATTCTAAATATTTTTCAGAATTATTCTGTTAATACAAAAGTATTTTGAAAATGCTACAAAAATGAATAAAACCATGATTCAATACAAATTTGTTTACAATGATTGTAGAAAATTTTCTAAATATAAAATGAAAAGTAAAGTATAAAAAAGCTTAGATAAGCACTTCATTTCCATTTATGCTTTTGACTGTAACAAGCGCATTGTGTCTTAAGGAAGATTAAAAAAAAGTTTCTCCTTCTTATTTTAACTTGTTCAATATTTACTTCATTTAACTAATTTTAAAAATAATCTGGAAAAAAAAATTGATTTGGTGATGCTATTTATTTTAAGCATTTTTAAAACTATTTTATTGCATCAATTTTTTTTTTTATAAATATCTTTGCAGGAAAGCTGTATTTAAACATTTGAAAATTATATGTGTATGCTTATTTAAAGAATGTAGATTTCCATTAGTAGTTAAACTTAAAAGTTGAAAATTTTTATAAGAAAGCTTAATATTTTTTCCATTTGGCTCTATTTAACCTAAAACTATTCATATAAAACTTTTAAAAAGATCACTTTATAAAAAAAATTGGCTTGATTTTTTTTAATTAAAAAAAACTATTAGGTTTAAACAAGCCAACTGTGTAGGGCAGTGATATATTTTTGTAGTTCTCTTTAAACACTTATTATATTTTCTTAATTTCTATCTCAGTTGAAAATATCTTAATATAATTTTTAAAAAAATATTAACATTGAGTGTAACTTTTTTCAATATAGCGAGACATATTTTGATCATAATCTACTGATTTGCTATTTACTTAATTATAAACCACAAATTTACACATGACCTTGATGCACACTATGAAATAAAGCTGTTGCAAGCTATAGCCATTTGAAAATCTTAATGTATATGGTTGCTGTTGAAAAATAATAAATAATCTAAACAAAATATTCTTGTAAAAATATTACTTGTCAGCTATTCTGATTATTTTGTTCAGTTTTGAGTAGTTTCATTAGTTTTATAATGGAAATAGGACTAATCTTGCCTGTGATTTTGCGAATAATTTTGACTGTCATGTAAATTTTATTGTCTTTTTAAAGGCCAGAAAGAACAAGATTTGAGTCAGTCAATATCCCTGATGTAGCTGAACAGTTAACAGATCAAGATCCAGTCAAAGTCCCTGATATAGTAGAATTAAAACGAAAGCTAACAGAAAATAGGGTGTTGTCTGGTCCAGAAAGGAAATTTCTGCTTCATGTGGTTGATGAATTTTCAGACAGGTAAGAAGGTTGCTGACTTACAATTAAAACACATTAAGTCAAGATGTTTTTTGGTTTTTCTGATCTAAAATGTTATAAAACCTTCATTATCAAGTCATTTATTCAAATTTAATTGAATGCAAATTTGTTTTTGTATTTCATAAAATTAAAAAATATTTTCTTTTTTTTTACTTCTTACAGATATCTCAAAATAAAATTGCTCAATTGTGTATTTTATTTGTAAGCCAAAAATATGCAACAATTTAGAAAGTCAATTTTATTTCCACATGGTTATGGACTCTTTTTAATATATATTTTTTTCAATTGTTACTAAGATTGTCAAATTGGTTCTTACATTAATCTAAAGCTGTGAAAAATTTTTTTTAATATTTCCATGAATTAAATATATGACACTGAGTACATCACGCAATATGTTAGCGACATTACATAAACAACAATATATTAGCACTGAGTACACACAACATTATATTAGTATATTTTATACACTGCATATATATATGTAATACAAAAATTGTAAATACTTTTGCATTAATAACAACATTAAAACTCTTTCGCTTTCATTAAATGTCTTTGGTAAAGAATAGGTGTTGAAATTCTATTTTGGGACTTCAAGGCTGAAAACATACCATTGAATCATAATTAGATTTACATTTCAAAGGAGAAGTTATTTTTAGAATCTTGTCCCTCTTTCACTTCCATATTTGGAAGCAATAAATGATTTTCTATAATGCGTAGAGTTACAATGGTATGTAGGACTGGAACCTAATTACATCATTCTCTGTTAGTATTAAATTCGAGACCGAAGGTTTTCGCATGTCTCTTGCTGAATAATGTGTTCCAATAAACAACTGCTGGAACCATCCGGAGTCTTTTCCACACAGCCTCCCTTGTGGAGTGGGGATGTGAACTGTTATAACCACCAGCCTTACTTTAAACAAACCTTTTTAGAACTTTTTATGGCTTTTACCTGCATTATTAAAGATGAATACAACAATGATAACAGGGATGTAGCCCTGTTATTATATATATATATATATATATATATCGCATTGTATTTAACGTCAATATATATATTTTATTTTTCAAAGAAATTTTAAACAATAGCTTCATTTCANATATATATGATTATTTACTAAATAATCTTAGTATAAAAACAAGTTTGACAACTATACTCTTGCAACAAAATCTTACAATAATAATCTTGGAAGAAAAGAAAAAAATAGATTTTTTTCAGCCCTGTTCTGCAGGGATTCTGATATTCCTTTGTGTTTTATTATTGACTTTTATTATTTAGTAAAGACTATAGACTTTCTTATTGTGGTGCAGCATTTTTTTCAAGTACATATTGTAATTCATAATGCTGAATGCATTTAGTAATAAATATAGATGGCATGATTTTTTAACGCTCCTCTCTTGTACTTTGTTCCCATTTTGCAATTTTAGTATTTATTTCTTTAAAGATAACTATTTAATTTTTTTCATCAATTTTTATATTTCTCCACCCTTTATCATTTTTTTATCAGTGTTGATTGTGATGTATAAATATATGTATACATTTTTGGCACAGCATTTTTGTATGTGTGTGTGCAGAAAACAAGGTTATGTAAAAAATTTAAATTTTCTTCTTTCAAGTATCTGAAATTTTCACACATTCAAAATTAGATAATTTCCTGCACATCCCAGATAGTAGAGCCTGTACTGTAAGTAAGTTTAAATGAAACTAAATGCTTACTACATTTTCGATAAAACCAAAGCTACAAAGCTATTAACCAGGTGAAGTAAAAAGAATGCTACTAAACAAACTATTTCTTATTGTACAAAATATCAGAAAATATTCAGACTTCCATCATTATCTTCATAAATATTGATCAAATTCTTATGACTTATATAAAAGCTTTGTGATCTATTAAATGCTAAGAATTCTTAAACTATTTAAATATATTAAAATCACCGAGATTAATGTTAAAAAAACACAAATTAAAATTTCAGCATAGCTTCGACAAGTCGTAAGCGAAAAAGAGGGCCCGAAGAAGCTGTAGAAAAGGTAAACAAAAAACTCCAAGCTACACCTCAGATAACTTCTACCTACACCCAAACAGGTATTTCTTTTGCTTGTTATAAACTTATTTATATTTAATATATAGTTTAAAAAATATCATTTCTATTTAAGACATACACATTTTTTATGTATATTGTGCGGAGAATAATATTTAATAGTACTAAGGTTTTATCTGGGTTATTTAAATAAATAAAAAATTATGCATGGTTCCCACGGTCCTTAAAAATCCTTAAAAACTGCTTAATTTTTATTTTGGAAAATAAGGGCCCTTAAAAGTACTTTATTTTGGTACAAGGTTTTTAAAAGTCCTTAATTTTTCTGCATCGGTATAGTTCATATGAACAATTTTTCAGTTAAATTTTTTAAAACAAAAAAAATCGTTCTTTTATCATCTAGATATAATAAAAAGCATGTTGGTCTGAAATTTATAAATCTTCTCAAACATAATTTTATTTTTATTCTATAAAAATTTTTATTAACATATTTATTGCAATGAATTTAAAAAAATATATATTAAGTTTATCTTAAGAAGAAAAAAAAGTGGAATGAATTAAGGTGCTTAGATATTAGTATGGCCTGTTTTACATGAAATAGAACTAATTTAACATGACATAGTTAAGAAACTATTCTTATGCACAACTCTAATTCGACTTTTTAGTATTCATTCCTTTAATATGTACCCTTATAAATGAAACATTTTAATTATAGAAAAGAATTTTTTTGGCGCAACTGAGTATTTAGCAAGATTGGCCCACAACTAAATATTTGATGCATGTCTAGAAGCGAAATATAAAAACTTGTAATAATTATTTCAATGTTTTCCCAAATTTCTTTATTCAGTCTTTTTTGTGAAAAAAATTGCTGTGCTTAATTTTACAATGCAATTTTAATGAAATAATTAAATATGGAATACGGATTAGTTTCATACTTGCCGTTAACCCTTAACAATCTGAAAATATTTTTTTAAAAAAGTCCTGTTAATTAATACAATTATATCAGTGCTTACATTATAATAAAATTGTCTTTTATTATTTTTTTTATTCATTGACTTTTTTTTTAGAGAAAGGTAAATAATTGGTACTGGTGGTATATGGATATTCGATGATAAACAATCATACTATTTTTTAAGGTCCTTAATTTTTCAGAAAAGCCCTTAATTTTTTCAACAAAAAAAAGTCCTTAAAAGTGCTTAATTTTTGCTTTGTTGAAAGAGTGGGAACCCTATTATGGCAATAATCAAGATATAAATTTTTCTTAGATTGTAAAGATAGTTTTTTTTTTTTAACTTTTACTAATTAAAGCTCTGGTTCAATATGCTTATATGTTTTATTTAATATTATTTGACATGAAAATTATTTATCATTTAACACAATTATTTAACTTTTTTTTTCAAGAATATTTTAGTATTAGTTTTTCTTTCTATCTTTGTCTTCCGACAGTCTCTAATTTTAGATATTTATTTATCATTAAATTATTTGCCTCTCGTGGCAGTCAAAATAGTTTTAAAATCCATTTAAAACATAATCAGTTGCTTAAACATAAAAATCTGCTTTATATATTTCGGAAAAATCTATGTTTTCTCTTAGGTTGCTAGCAAACCACGCAGATTTGAATGTGTAGTTTTTATATCATTATTTTTCTGTTATTTACTGCAAAAATAAATATGTATTAGGATGTAACTAAAGTTTTCTGCCAAAAAAAGTTCTTATTAAAATTAGAAAAAACATGAGAGCAGTACCTTTAGTGCAAGTTGTAATCCGCTCCCAAGTTTATAATTTTCTGCCAACATTTTGGTAGTTTTCCCAGGCTTTAAGCCCATGAACTTGGTGGCTGCAAATCAAAGAATAGATCAACCTCATTTTTCAAATCCTGTTTTGAGTCGAAGATAGCAGAAGCAAGATACTGTGAAAAAAAGTAGAAGTACAAAGAAGCGCTGATGGGGTATAAGGGTATAACAAAAGATCCTGTTCGAGTTTAAATGCAAGCATAAAGCAGCGTCAACATGAACTATCTTCTTGCTGTATACCTAACTGTCAGTGATTTTACCTTTTCTCAGATACTATTTTATTTGCGTCGTCGGTGAACAGCCTTCAACTCCATAGCCTTGTAATTTTAACCTCAATCCAGAAGACAAGGGAACTCCTGGATCAAGTATTCAGAAAAATTTGCCTTCATTGAGGGTTTTTTTTTTATGAAACTAACCTGCGTTTGTGTTACATAGAGAGGTAAACCTCCCACGGTTAGCCTAGCGGCAAGGGGGGCTCTACTCATGATCCGTCTACCACTGAGGATATTTTACGCCAGGGCTGTGGTCAGTAAAGAATTCGAATCGATCTGCCATCAATGGCATTCAAACCTGAGTCACCTCATTACAGATACTATTTGTCGATAATATCTTGGCAATCCCATGATCTTGGTGGAGCAGTATCTTCTAGCGCCAGAACTCAGCTTTGACGTTCTGCCTTGATAGCAACGTCAACATGGACTAGCATCTTGTTGTATACCTTACTGTCAATGACTTTACATTTTCACAAATGCTATTAGTGAGTAATATCTTAGCAATACCACTATATACAAAGATCTTTGATTTTATCGTTGGTCAAATTGTGCTTTACGACTTTGCAGCTGTGTTAAGCAAGCAAAGACCAACCATTTTCCAGCTTGTGTTGAAGTTAATCCAGTTTTCATCACTAGTTGCATCTGGTCCAGAATGCTGTCCTTGTGTTGATATTACAGTAGATTAATACAGTCTGGACCCAACTGTTCTTACCTGCTTGTGTTTGCTCATGTCTCGCACAATGAGTGAACTTGTATGTCGAGTTTGTGTGATGTGGAGTGCAATTAATGGATATGGCACTAACATCTTACTCCTTAGCTTGCTCTCGGGTTGTTAAATGTGGATTTTCTTCCCCAAGTTCTTTGTGTTACATAGAGAGAGAGTTACATTGTGGCCGGAAACTTAAGTTACATCCTGATATATTTTGTAGCAATATTAAATTTGGATATTTTACCACTAGAAAGGGCATTTCTTTATTAGTTTATTTGCTGTTTTTTTAAGGGTATATATTTAAAAATAATATTACTTAGACCAGCAGTTTCTAAATGGTGTTCCGCAGATCCCTGGAGTTACGTGGAAGGACGACAGGGGTTCCTAGAGCTAGGAATTTTTTTAAACTATTTATGATTTTCAAAACCTGTATTTAAATTTATATCTAATTAATAATCTATTATTTATTTAATATTTCCTTTATTTTTATAATTTCCATTATTTACAATATTATTTAATGGAAATGCTAGCAAAGAAACAAATATCAGAACAATGTTCTTCTAATAACAATATAGTGAATGAATTATGGAAAGGATATGCATTTAGGAAAAATTCTGTTAGTGTTTTGCATTGAATATAAATAACCACATTCAACAATGAAGAAGTATATATTTTTTTTTATAAACATTCTCTGCAGTTATTTCCTTCCTTTTTCCATTTTTATTATAATTCAAACCTTATTTCAGTTCGTTTTCAGTTTATGCATGCATTAAAATCAAATTAAGGGCTGTGAATTTAATCAATTTGAAGACAAATATTGATGAAACGATATGATGAAAGAAATGTCATTCATTCACTAAATATTTTTAAAATAATATAAAAAAATTTAGATCAGTTCTATACGCATTCTAAATTTTTAAATGCTCTACTGCTTCCTGATCTTAATATTTTTTTTTTTATTTTTAGATCAGGGGATATTCAATAACCCACCTGAACCATCAACTAGTAAAGACTTGATTACCGAAAGTAAGCGTTTAGCACGTTCAGAAAAAAAAGATGCCGTAAAAGTTCGTTCATTGATGGATAAAACATTTGAGGAAAGGAGGCATTTCATTCTACTTAAAAATCCTATTCTACACCTGGTCAAAGAAAAATATCCCTTATTGTTTTCAACAGACGAGGTAAAGTTTGATTTTTTTTTCCTTCATTTTTGTGAAGAGTGTTTCTCGGAGATTCTAGTTGTGAAGAATATTATTAAATTATTAAGTTAATTTAAACTTTGCCTTAACTTTTTCAACTCTTGACCAAATTTAAAACGATTTTAAAATTTTGAATGTAAGCCACCTCTTTTGTGTTCAATATTTTGTCCTTTCATCTTTTAAATACTGAAAGAAAAAGGAAAATTTTTAAATAACCATGCTTAGTATTTTTTTTTTAATTCTGTTTTACTAATAATATAGAATACAAATTCTAAATTTTCTTTTGCCCCTCATGATATAACATAAGTTAGTAATATGAGTTGTGCATTTTGTGAACATGTTTGCTTTTTTCTCTAAAATTTAATTTAGTAGAGCTGTAAGCTAGTAAACGTCACTGGCATTCTCTTTTAAGTACAAACTTAAAAAATAAAATCGTTTTTTAAAATGCATGAGGTTAAACCTACGAGGGAAATTTTTTTTTTTTAACCTGTCTCTTCCAAATGTGCTAATTGAAATTTTTGATTGAATTTTGAACGGAACTAAAGTAGCCCCTTGAACCTGCTGTCTAAATTTCAGGACACTAGCTCAAGCATTTCTGGGGGTTATGAGAGAGACACTCAGACAGAAATACAAACTCTTTATATTATTGATGAAATGGGTTGAAAATATATTAAAATGTGTTTTTGTTATAAGTAAAATACATTAGATTGTGTATAAAGCTCAATAGTTGAACATTTAAGGGGCCGTTCAAAAAGTACGTACACAAAAATGGAGAAATTTTAAACCCCTCCTCCCCCCTTCGTACATTACCGTACATAAGGTCTTNTCCCCCCCCCCCCCCTTAGAGTACCTACATTTTATTAGTCTACCCCCCTTTTTGATAAAAGTTAAAATAATTATGTTTTTAATGAAATTAAATATTTATTTAAAATAATTTATTCATTTAAATTGTTTAAACAATAACACCCAACGGGGAAATACCACCAATCAGGGAAAGTTTGGTGTTTGCAATTTTTTATTTTGGGAGACAACTTTTTTTGAGAACTCATTCTAACTAGTGGTCGCCGTGTGAAAAAAAATGCAAAAGCAAACATATGTAGAATACATGTGTAGGAAAAAGTCAAATTTAAATTTGGTGTATTCTTATAATGTACGTACTTTGAATAATACCTGCCCCCCTCCCCATCGTACAAAACCGTACAAAATAGTAAATCCCCTCCCCCCTTTCGTGATGTACATACTTTTTGAACGGTCCCTAAACTCAGATTAAAATTTAATACTTATCCTGCTCATTTCCATTCTTTTTGTTTTTATACACAATGTATTAATAAAAAATGAATGAATTTAATAAAAAATTAAATTATAGAAATATTTATAAATCTTCATCTTAATTTTAGGTTATCAATGAACTCAATCGTATCTTTTACGATAAGAAAGCTGAAGAATTTTTGTCAAACATTAAAAAGTACAGCACAACGATAATAAATCTTGTAGAGGAAAATCATCCTTTNCATTTTTGTCATATCTTAAACTTAGCCTTGACTTTTTCAACTATTGACCAAATTTTATAATTTTACATGCAAGCCACCTCTTTTGTATTCAATATTTTGCCCTTTCATCTTTTAAATACTGAAAGAAAAAGGAAAATTTTTAAATAATCATATTAGTATTTTTTAATTAATTCTGAAATACTAATAATACAGAATACAAATTCTAAATTTTCTTTTGCCCCTCATGATATAACATAAGTTAGTAATTTGAGTTGTGTGCATTTTGTGAACATGTTTTCCTTTTCTCTAAAATCTAATTTAGTAGAGCTGTAATCTAGTAAACGTCACTGGCATTCTCTTTTAAGTGCAAATTTAAAAAATAAAATCGTTTTTTAAAATGCATCAGGTTAAACCTACAATGAATTTTTTTTTTTTTTAACGTGTCTCTTCCAAATGTACTAATTGAAATTTTGCCCCTTGAACCTGCTGTCTAAATTTCAGGACACTAGCTCAAGCATTTCCGGGGCTTATAAGAGAGACACTCAGATTGAAATACAAACTCTTTATATTATTATTGATGAAATGGGTTGAAAATATATTAAGATATATTTTTGTTGCAAAATACAGTAGATTGTGTATAAAGCTCAATCGTTGAACATTTTAACTCAGATTAAAATTTAATACTTATCCTGCTCATTTCCATTCTTTTTGTTTTTATACACAATGTATTAATAAAAAAATGAATGAATTTAATAAAAAATTAAATTATAGAAATATTTATAAATCTTCATCTTAATTTTAGGTTATCAATGAACTCAATCGTATCTTTTACGATAAGAAAGCTGAAGAATTTTTGTCTAACATTAAAAAGTACAGCACAACGATAATAAATCTTGTCGAGGAAAATCATCCTTTAGCAAAAACTATTAAGGAGGCAAATGATAAAGCAAGTACAGTTAGTCAAAAGAGTTGTAAGTATTTCCCATTTTATTTTGACAACACAGAAGCATGATTTAAATCACTCGATGAAAGTGAATCACTCAAGCAGCAACCAGTTGTTATCCATGGGGTAGAGATTAATGCTCCCCAATTATAATTTAATTCATTTTTTAATCTTTATGTGTTTAAAAGATCTCCTCATAAATGTGATTCTTTCTTTTGTTAATTGGCAGCGACCCGCTAATATGATTCTTTTAGTTTGGCGATTTTTGTCATTTTGAATATTCAAGACTGCACGGAATCTGCCAAATTTATCCTATAAATTCAAAATCTAATTTTTTTCTTCCAAATTAGTAATATTTCGTAAATTTTTGAGGCGATGAATGTATTTCTCGTCTGTTGGTAGCAGATGTAGTGGAAGCGGATTGTTTTTCCACTTCGCCACTTTAACTTCGATAAGAGCATTAAGAATCACCCCTATCCCTCTCTCTTCCTACTACACTGTAAAAGTTCACCCTCTTGACTGCAGGTGTGACATAAATAATATAACTGGACTGGGTTCCTATAAAGTACCCAAATTTCACTATTTTTAAGAAAAATGATAATTCTTTAAAAAATTATATTGTTCTTTTTCCATAAAAAAAACACAAATTCCTTAATACCCTCGATGGGTAAAAACATAAGGCAACTTATAAAAAACAGGATTTGTGTTTTATGAATCACAATGTTGGTAGTTTCCACACAATATAAAAAATCAAATCCCGATTCATATTTCCTCAGTTTGAAAATTACTCATCATTTCAATCATCATCAATTCAACTGATTTCAAAATCAATCTTCATGATTCATATTTATGCGGTTTAAAAATCACACATTAAAATTTTTATTTACGCTATTTAAAAATCTAAATTCCAAATTTGTATTGACATTTTCTTAAAATTCAATTTAATGATTCAGCTTCACACGATTTTAATGCCAAACATTAATTATCATATTTAGGAGATTTAAAAAATAATATTCATATTTGATAGATGAGTATGACCCTTCTTTCCCTGACAGCAATCAATAAATAAATAGGCTGATTCATGCAGCGACTGAACTCAGAAAACTGAATTAAATTACAAATGATTAGATGAAAAAGTTAACGTAGTTAGAACTGCACATAACCGAGTCCCGATTTCCCAGAAGAATCTTACATGATAGTAGTTTTTCAATCAACGGGAGTGAGCATTAAGTTTAAGTCATGACTTTTTAAACATCAAAATTCAGCATCATTGATTAGTTGCTAGCTACTGAGCATTTTGCATCAAATATTTTAAAAGTAGGTGAAGAGTTGAGTAGTAACTGGCTTCTCCTGCGAAGAAAACATTGTCTCACTGGTGTGGTTTGTTACCAGTCACGATGAGCCCTGGCGTCAAACTTTTAGAATGTCATTTTATGGCTTAACTAGAGGTAAACAACAGGCATAGATTCCACTGATTTGACACGATTATCAATCATATTTCTAACAGTATTCACATAACTTAACTAAATATGATGGTTCAAATTCATGTTATTTAAAAATCACACATCAATTCGTATTCACCCAATTTTAAAATCATTCATTGCAATTCGTAGTTACGCAATTTAATTTGTAGAGTGTGCAAAACTAATTCTTTCCACAGAAGGCAAAGGTAGAATAAGTTTTGCATTCTGCTTATAATTCATAGCATTCTTGTTACATTTAAACTCTATGTTTTCCAAAAATATATAAAAAGTAATAATTTTCAAATCTTTTATAACTTTCCAATAAATATTTTTATTTTTTTACAATTTTTTTAATTTTCAAGAATTGTCCAAATCTGTGGGAGCAAAGTAAATATATATTGCTGATACTTTATAATTGTGTACACCATAGTTTATTTTTTTTATCTCACTATGCGTTGTATGGTTATAGGATGTAACATATAACCTAATAAATGGGTATAAATAAATTTAAAGAAAATTTTCAGCCACTTTTGTATTTGACCAATCATATGTGTTAAATAAATATCAGTCTACATCAGTTGTTCCTAACTGCTTGTTGCCCACCTCCCCCCTCTAAATGTTGACTGACATTTCACACCCCCTTTTTTTATTGAATAAAAAACCTTACATTGTTGCTATTGTATGCTAAGTTATACCTGATTTTAATCTAAAGTAAATGTAAATAATGAAGCATTTTTATCCAGTCTCTTCAGAAAGTTCAAAAAAAAATATTGTATTTCTTTCCCTTTTTTATAAGAAAAAAAGATGCAATGTTAGGAAGCGAAATAATTGAAACAGGAGTAAATTTTTTAAATTTATTTTTTAATGTAATCTAGAAAAATTGAAAACATCAACAACTAAAAAGTGAGAAAAAAAAACTTAAAATTTGAAATCTCAATTGTTTATTTTTACCTATGCAGTGACTGACTTGTGCTTGGTGGATTTCATTCAAAACAAGAATATCAGGCTTTTTGTTAGTCAGATTTGAACATGGGTCTCCTTTGAAGCAAATGTACATTCAACTTCTTTGTTTTGTGAGAAGCTGGATGACCGAACTAAATCTTCTTCTACTAAATATGTTGATGGAACCCAGATGAGGAGCCATTCCTTGGCTTTTTTTCATTATCATTAATTACAAATATTTTTCTTTTGAATACTCATTGCCCATCTGAGTATTCTCACTTCTCTGAGGAGCATTATCGCACCCTGGTTGGGAAACACCGATCTACATGCTTCAATCACATCTAGAAATAGGCTCTTTAATTTAACCCTTCTTTAGTTGATTCAGCTCTTGCTACAACTTACTTGAGCCAAACGCCCCTTTTCTAATCTTTACCGAGAATTTGTTACTTAATTGTTTTTTTTTCTCACCCATATGTTTGTTGTTTGTTGCCTTAATTCAAATAAACCAGTCCATGGTAGTTTAAACCAGTAACCCATTTCACCTCTAGGTCAAACTTTTAATTTCATATCTTGGCTGTGTTACAGAACAGCATGTAGAGTACAGTGAGTCAAATAAAGAAAAATTATCTCTAAATGACTTTTGTTCTGATAATCCGATTTTTATGTATTCATTACCATTTTTAGTAGTTGTAAAAATTAGATTAAGTTATAGAATCTGATAGAAAAACTATTTTCTCTGAATAGACATACCCTTTATTTATTTTATTTTTTTATATCACAGATTTGGATTTTTAACTCTGCAAAATATGGAATGCAGAAATTATCTGTGAGAAAAGTAATCTCAATAGGTTCATTCAGACAATGGGCCAAATGCTTGGGATTCCTTAAAGTTAATTTACTTTGTTTGCATTTTTGTCATATCTCTAAAATCAATTAACCCATTTTAGGTCATGCATAAAAATGTATTATTTTCATTGAAATATGCTTAAATTTTCATGAAAACTTAAAAAAGGTTTTGTGCATGAAAAATAATACTTTATTTAAGAAATAAAATGGTGCATATGTGCACTATTGACATAATAAATGAACAATTTATTTAGTTAATCTCTCCTTTTTTTTGTGACATTCATTTTATTTTATTTACAGAACTTAAACTATAATCCCTCATAAAAAATATAAANTTTTTTTTTTTTTTTTTTTTTTTTTTTTTTTTTTTTTTTTTTTTTTTTGTTTGTTTGTTGAAAAAGTTGAATTTGTCAATAACTGTTTCAAGTTAAAAAACTAGCATTGTTTAAAAAAATTTCAAACAAAAGTATTTACTCTAATTGAATTACTAATATTTTATTGATATCTTCAGAACTCTTAAAATAGTAGAAAAGTAAAATTAATGAAAAATAAGCATCATAGTGTTAAAAAATATGTTTATTGAAAAGTATGTTTACGCACATTTGGCTGAAAACGGGTAAAGCATTACAAAATTTCTTTAATGCAAAGATAGTTTCTTTTAAAATGTAATTTTTAATAATTATTTTTTATTTTATTTAAAAATACTTGAGAAATTTTGGATTGTGAGACAAAATTTTAAATTAAATAATTTTAACTGACAATATACAAAATTTTAACAAATTGGTCAATAATTTTCAAAAAAGGAAATTTTTTTCAATTCTTATGGTTTAAAAACTTAGTCTGGTTTTATCAGAATATGTTAATCTAATTGAGTATTTCATACTTTTCAAAAAAATGGTAGACTAAATTAATGTTTTACACATGTTGTTGCCCATTTTTTACACAATTGATATTATATAAATATTCTGAAATGTCATGAGGAAAAAAACAAGTATTTATGATGGTACTTTCTGATTGCAGATGCACGACAAGTAGGATCTTTACTTGCAATTTCTAATGTTGTGAGAGAGCGACGAACTTTTCTGCATACTGAGGACGAAGTAAAATATTTCATTGACTTATAATTTATTTTATTTTATTGCTATTGTTTATTTATTTATTTTTTTCGGCAAAGAACTTGTATTCATAAATTTGAACTATTTCTCAAAAATTAGGAATTAAGCTTTTATGTTTTAACAATTGTTTTTTTTGTTGACAAAAGTGGTATTAATACCCATGCAAAAGCTTTGCTAGCAATACTTAGATGAGAAAGTTAAAAATTACTCTTTTTTTTTCTAATTTCAACAATTTCAAAATTTTTTACTTCACAAATCTGAGAAACATCTTTTTAAAACAATATGCATAGTGTGCAAATATTTTTGTTCATATTTATCAAGTAATTTTTGCCAATAAGTTTTTAATTTGCGAATAAATCCAATATTTTTACAATTACCGTTAATATTTTTAATAAAGTTTTGAAAATCTTTTAATTGCTATAGTTAGTATGAATTTTCTGTAGATACAGATGGTACTAATCATAATGTTCATAATCTTTTAAAATATCTAAAAGTTTCAACATAAATAAGAATTTCCATAAAAAGCTGCGTATTGATTCAAAACATTTTTTTTTTCTTACTTTCCATAAAAGTGTTTTTCTGAATATGAATACATAGGCCAAGCTTTAAATGTAGATAAGGTGCATCATTAGGATTGAGAATTGCAAAACATTTAATATGTATATTACTGATTGTAACTAACGATAAGTGTCAAAATTGCTTTGATATCACAAAAATGCACGTTTCAACTATATTTAAGGACTTGGTGATATATTTGGTTGCCAAATCATTAAATTACATTGAAACAGGTTTTTTTTGTTCTTTTTATTTTAAATACAGTTTTTGAGATTAATCATTAGCAAATATAAAATCAAAATGAATAAAAATACCAGTTCTAATGCAGACAAATATCCATTTTATTTTATATTCAGCAATAAAGAACCCATTCATAGGTATGCAACTATCAATGTTCATCTCTGTAATCTTGTAATTTTGAACTAAATTCAGAATAACAGAATACCTGGATTAAGCATTGAGACGAAATAGCCTTTGCCGAAGACATTATACTGGAACTAACCCACATTTGTGTTACATGGAAATGAAAATCATGAAAACCTCCCACGGTTAGCCCTGCATCTCATTTATATTTCCAATCGTGGTTCGCTTAGAAATTCTCAGCTCTCGTGGTGCCCCTACCTGCCCTTAAATTTAGTCTCATGAATTCAGGGACACCCTGTGTTTATTATGTACACCCTGTCTATTCAAGGACACCCTGTGTACACACGCATAATAATGTATATATATTTTTTTTACATTTCGATTATGTTTCCTAATTTTATGCTTACATATTTGTATTTTACAGCCTTGTGAAAAAAATAACTACCCTCGCATTGAAGCTCCCTGTGAAGTGTCTGAAATATTTGAAGACGTAATTACTTACAAAATTATTGTTGAAGGACTCATACTTTGTGAGGCTTCTAACTTTCCTGAGGCAATTCTCTGTTTACTCTCTTCCTATTTCATCTTTAACATTTCATATCCTGAACAATCATTTAACACATTTGTGCTCATGGAAAAAATATTTTTGGATGCAAATGATACTGACGTGAACGATGTTGATGAAGATACAAATCAATTCATCAGGTATATTAAACTGAAAACGAATCAAAAGAGTTAGGTGTTTTTTATGAGGATAACGAATCACTTTTTTTTTTATTTGTCTCTTCCATTGTGCCATTGTTATGTCATTATCTCAGGCATCATAAACATTTCTTATTTTTAATCAGATTATTTGAATAGTTTTACATTGTCCAAATATTTAATTGAGTGTTGTATTGTGTTTCCCCTCTTAAAGTTTTAAAATTAAACTTTTGATTGTAATACAAATATAAAAGAGAAACTGTTTTTTTTTTTTTTTTTTTTTTTTTTTTTTTTTTATTTAACTGATTCTTTTCTATTGTACCAAAAACAAATCACTATAGTTATTTATGGGGGAAATGTATAACTTTTTTATTTGATACTACCAAATAAAAAAGTTATACATTCGAGTAGTATTATGCGTAAAGTATCCTTCATAAAAAATAGATTTTCTATATTATTTCATACACCATAAACATTACTTATTTTTAATGAGATTATTTGAATAAGTCTTAAAGTAGAATTTTCTTCTAACTCCAATTAATTCCTTCTTTGAGAAAGTTAACTGCATATTGATAATTGTAACCTTCATTTATTGTTTAAAAAAAATTAAACTTGCTCATTATCAAGTGTATTATTTTCAATTTTAATTTTATTATTTAAAATCATATCTGTTTTGATTGAAGGATATTTCTACAGACTACCGCTTCATAAAATCCATAGTTGAGGCTGAATATTTGATAACATATTTTAGTACAGCTGTCTATTTCCTAATTTTTGCTCTGTTGTCTTGCTTGATTTTTGTTAACTTGCTTCTCATTTTCCATAATCAGCTATTTCTATGCATTTATTGAGTGAATGGAAATTTCAATTTGAAATCAGTCTGTTGTGTTTTTTCATTCATTTTTTCATTCAGAAATATTTTTCCTAAGTACAAAACTATGTAATTAATGTAATAAATATTTGTGCGTGTGAGATGCATTATGAACTGTAAGCTATGTTTGCACAAACTTTTTCTGATAGCAGACCACAGAAACTATAAAAAAAGTGCAATGTTGATTGCCAACATGAGTAACGTATAACTGTACTTGTAAAATAGCCATAAATAAAACTTGTAAAAAGAAATTGTTTTCATAAAAGTTCAAAGTTGCATTGAGTGAATAAATAAATAAAAACCCAGGATGACAAGTTAAAAAAAAAATTAATTAAAACAAATTAATTTTCTTTTTTCCAAGGTGGAAAAAAAATTGCTTATTTTTTTCTTTTCAGTCATGTGATTCTTTCTCTAATTCATGAAATTATTCATATCTCGAGACAGTTGATTTGTGGACTTCTGTAAATCAATAATTCTTATTCTGACTATGTCGGCATTCCGATGATCTAAAATTTAAGTTTTGTTACTCAGACAGAATCTCGTTAGCGAGACATCTATTCCTCTTTTCATTCTCCTGAGATCTTATTCACAAGCTATGACTTTTTTTTACGCAAATTTGTTATAGGAAAACGCAATTGCTGAGCAAACTACTGAGGCAAACTCAAAAGTATAAAATTGATTATCTAAGAAGTAATTGTGAATATCCAAATATCTTTCACTAGAAAAAAAGGGTGTTTTTTCTCTTTTTTTTTCTAAACTTTTATTTTAGTAAGTAGCAATTTTATTGAAAATTCCGTCTCTCAACTACATAATTATTTAATAAATTTGTGTCAAGGAAATTGTGAACCTCTATTTTCTGTAATCACCCAATATGATGGTAAATCCGTGTTCGATTTTTTTTTCCTTGTGCGGTTAATGCAATTAATTTTCTCACATTTTGTTAAAAAATTCTAATATTGTTACGGCATACAAAATTTAAATCTCGCAGTTGAGTAATCACTTTTTGATGTGTACAATTCGTGTCGAGACGCTAAGTGCTAAGTTTCCATCGTTATTGCTACAAATTTTCTCAATATATTTTTAAAACTCCTCAATTTTTTATGCATTATTATTGCACTCAAAATTTCATTTGTGTATTTATTAGTCACTTTTTCGTCAACATTTTATTAGTTATTGCTCATATCCACATGGTTATTCCGATATTTTCATACTAAAATATAAAGAAACTGGAAATTGTAATTGCAAAATTCAATGAATGCTTTTTTTCGCAGTTATCATTCTTGTTATAATCCTGATATTATGATAGGTGAAATTCAATTCACTATTTGATTTGGTAATTATATTGTTCAGTCAATTTTTTGGTAATTAACCCCTGGTTTTTTAAATACTCTGTATTTCTAATATGATATTATTTATTGCATCACAGGAATCTTGAAAGGTACGGTTAATTAACATCTTTCTTCTTTTATCATTTATTGATGTGAATTTCAGGACCTTTAATTTTCTTTTTAAACGCCATGACTACTCCCAAACCTCGAAATTTGTAAAATATGTTATTTTTTTCAATATATTTTTTTTTAATTCTTTGCTGTGTTTATGAGGGGAAAAAATTTATTCGATAAAAAAATAATTATTTTTTAAATTTTATAAATGTTACTTTTGTGCATAAAAATTACATCTCTCTTTTTTTTATCTTTCGTACAAAAAGAAAAAAAATACACATTTTAAAAAAAGAATTCAGATAATTTCTCCCAACAATCACATGACAGATTTTTAAGTAGCTTATATATTTTTAACATCTAAACTTGTTCCGGGACTAAGGTACACACTTAAGGGGCCAGTTTCAGCCTGTGAACCATAGATTGTGCAACCGTCTTATAAACAATAATCCTTTTGATAGCATAAAGGCATATTTGTACTTTACTGAACTTATTTCATGTTCTGTTCATAATTTTTTCATAATGTTATGTTTATCATGTTCATCATGTTTATTCATAATTTTTTCTTGTTAAAGACTATTATAATTATGTATTTTAAGCTAATACAATTTTGTTAAATTGTAATTGTTGCTTATTTGCTCAAATAAAACTTATATTAAGTTGTAGTTTTTAAATTGTGTGCATCACAACACATTAATAATTATATAAGTTTCAAATATTTTCTCTTTGACAAAATTGAAATGTTTTTTAGTTTTGAATTTCATATGTTGCAACCAATGTGGAATTTCATCCTTGTATAAATTTCTATACAAGAATAAAATATCCATTTTTTCTTCCAATTTTGGAATTATATTTGTTATTAATTCTGTCATAGTTGTTTTATACTGTGCAATTTTTATCTCTTATTATTGTTCCAATATTATATAAGTATTGTATTTTTATCATTCTAAAAAATTGCATGTGTTGTGTTAATGAGTAAGTCTCATTTTACTTTTTGTTACATTTGTATCATCTTATTTGTATGTACAGTACAGTAAAAAATAAACAGCTACCAAAATAAAATTTGATCTAATGATCGGATCCTCATGTTCTAGGACTCAATCTTAATGGTTTGAAGGGGTGACTTCAAATATGTTAATCGATTAATGCAGACGATATTTTAAGTTATGAAATACAATACAAAAACGCGCTTTCACTGAACAAGCATCCCCTTCTTTGACGGTCTCTGATTTCAGAGGCCCAAAACATCGAGGGTATCTGCAATCTGGAAAATATGGTCCCAATAGTTTTGTCAGGAAAACGGACCAAACTTTGGACCCTTGAATGTTAATTTTACTTTTTGCTTATTTTGAAATATCTCCTGAAAATTTGAAACGAATTGAAATATTTTTACACACAATAATAAGATTCGTTTAGCCAAAGAGAATTCCAAATCAGTGTTCCCACCGTCCCTAAAAGTCCTTAAAAACTGCTTAATTTTTATTTTGGAAAATTTTATTTTGGCCCTTAAAAGTACTTAATTTTGGTACAAGGTTTTTAAAAGTGCTTAATTTTTCAGCATCACTGTAATTGACAGGAACAATTTTTCGGTCTTACAAAAATATTTAAAACAAAAAGTTGTTCTTTTATCACCGAGAATTTAACCAGCATCGAGAGTAGAGCATTTTAGAGAGGCTAGAAGGAATGTGTGTGAGGGAGTTACAGGCAAGAAAACATATCCTTTCATTAATATATTATTCCTTTTGACTAGAATGATACTCTATGAGGAGAGTGAAGCATTCCAAAATAAAATAATAGTGTGTGGACAAGGGGGATACTGCACATGGAATCATGCCTTTTTTTTGTGGGGGAGGGCAGTTAGTTCTAAGTAGAAGACCCACATCAACCTTTAAAATCAACAGAATTCAAGAAATTCGGTTTTGCTGGTAGCGCAGGTGCTTATAAGAACAACATAGAGCCCTAAGATAAGAAGTATCAGAAACAATGTTTAAACTGGAATCCAAAACAAAAACTAAGCAGATAGTTACATAAAAATGTAAATCTAATCAATTAAAAGATCCCAAACTTCTTGCTATTAATGTCTATTAGAATTAAATTTAGATTTTTTTAATCATTTTGCTCATTTAACATTGCAACTTAATATACTGTTTTTTAAATTCTTGCAATTTTGGGTTCCTTTAAAATTAGACCATGTTTCTTGTTAGATTGTTTAGTAATATGTAAAGTTAACTCTTAATTTCAAAATAACAGTCTGGGCTGGAATAAATTTTATGTAAAGCTCATAATGAAAGTAAATATAAAGCATTTGCTGTTTAGTAATAATTTTAAAATGTTTAAGTTACATACTGTTTTCAAAATGTTTTTCCTAACTTTTCATTATTGTTTTTACTAACATTACCTGATAAGGTGATATTTCCGGATTACTTTATAATAAAAGAATACAACTTTCAGTTTTAAACTGTTAATTTAGGGTATAAATAAAATATCAAATCCTAATAATAGTCGAGAATAATATTAAGAATGATAGAGGATGATAAAGAAATATTACAAATAAATATCTGTAAATGATGAAAAAATAAATAATTTATCAGTATTTGTTAATTAGAAACCTTAGCAATTTTCTGGTCATAAGAATGTGTTGATAACTTTGAAGAATCGTTTCGACCCTTTTATTTATGTATTCCACCGAAAACTAATATAAAAAGCATATTGGTTTAAAAATTATAAATCTTTTCAAGCATAATTGTGCTTTTATTCTATAAAAAATTTTATAAAATATTGATTACAATGAATATAAAAGCCTAATGGAAAAATAGTGGAAGGTGCTTAGATATTGGTGAGGCCTGTATTTATTTGAAATGGGACTTAATTATACATGACATAGTTAAGAAAACTACTTTCATTCGTAACTCTAATTGAACTTTTTAGTATTAAATCTTTTCATATATACCCATGTAACATTCTATTAATAGAAAAGAAAGAATTTTTTTGGCATAACTGAATATTAAGCAAAATTGCTCACAACTGAAATTGTGACACAGTAAAATATAAAAACTTGTAATAATTTTTTTCAGTGTTTTTTCCAAATTTCTTTATTTCTTTTTTTTTTTCATATACGGAAAAAAAAAAATGTGAATCTTAATTTCTGCACTTTAATTTTACAATTTAATTTGAATGAAATCATTAGAAATGGAATGCGGATTAGTTTTTCATACAAATCGTTAACTCTTAGCAATCTGAAAATATTTTTATGTATGCAAAAGTTACCTGTTCCTACTTTGACGAACACTGTTAATTTATACAATTATATCGGTACTTGCATTATAATGAAATTGTTTTTTTATTGAATGTAAAAATAATTTTTTATAACTTTTTAAATATCTTTTTTAAGAAAGGTAAATAATTGACATTGTCGCTGATTGCATATGTATATTCTATGATAAACAATCATATTATTTTTAAGGTCCTTAATTTTCAAAAAAGTCCTTCATATTTTCAAAAAAAAAAATCCTTGATTTTTGCTTTGTTAAAAGAGTGTGAACCCTGCATGCAGAAAATAAAATTTAGTGAGTATTTACTATTTTTTAATTTATTAACAGTCGAAGAAAATTTCAATTGTAAGGTACACAATTTTTTACATCATGTTAAAGAATGCAATTTCAAATGGCAAAATGAAATTGAAATCTGTCAAATAGTTCCCGAGAAATCGAATTTTAAAAAGTAAGAGAGAAGATTAAGAAAAGAATTTTTCCAAAATTCGATTTCTTAGAAATATGCGACTGATTTCTTCCAAATTTTGTCATTTAAAATTGCATTCTTTAAAATGATGTAAAAAACTGTGTACCTTACAATTCAATAGTTTTTCAACTATTAAATAAATTATAACAGGGCTGATTGTGCTCCGGATTTCCGGAATTTTTGCTAACAGTGATCCGGAAATTGAAGGTCCAGACGTTTCAAAAATTCATTGATCACAGAAGTTTCGGGAAATCAAATTTTCAAAGGGGGAACTTAAAAACACAGTTTATTTTATTTGTTTGTAAGGGAGAGCCAGAGAGATACTTTATAAACTTATATTCATGATTAATATTAATTTTTTATCAGTAAATAGTTGTTATAATCATAAACTCAAGAAAGAAAGACATATTTGTAAATTTTAATTACTTCTCCAGGTCATCATAGGTATGTATAAATGGTATAGGTATGTGTAAAAGTTTAAATATATATTTTAAGTAAACTGAGAAAAAAAACCTTGTTTAAATGTTTTTCAATTTAAACTTTTTTTTTTTTTAAACTCAAAAAATTTTCCGGAATTTTGACTTGGGGTTCACAATCACCCCTGTTATACTAAATATATACTTAAAGTTATATTTTGATTTATGAATTTTATAGTTACGTGGAGAAAGTTTTCAATTCGCTCAATAGTTCTTGCGATATAGTGAAATAAACAAGAAAGTGAAATTAACATTCAAGGGTCCTAACTTTCCGCTTTCCTAACCAAACTACTGAGACCACATTTCCGAAATTGCAGCTACTCCCTATGTTTTGCGGGTCCCAATGCGTCGAAAAAAAGGTATGTTTATTCAGCTAAAGTACATTTTTGTATCTTGAATTTGTAACTTAAAATATCGTCTGCACTTAATACTCAAAAAATTTCCTGAGAATTATAAACTATTTTTATAAGTAACACACAATATTTTATTTATTATTTTTTCATGGTGATCCATAAAAAAAAATTAAGAATTTTTAAATTCTTTTGTTTCTTACGTCTTAGAAAAAAAATTGTGCCTTATTATTTTCGCAGAACTATTAACAAAATAAACCGCATGGTTTCAGATAACTTTAGAAAGGCTAATTTGATAACATAGCACTGATGCCGTTGACGTCATTTACTGAACTTGTAAAAAAATTAACTCTAAAGAAAGTTCGATAGAGTATTAAACAGATTCATTTACAATTTTAATTATAATAATTGTTAATATTAAATTGATGCAAAAAAAAATCATTTTTCAAACATTTCTCCCAGACTACTTTTTTATAAATGTGATGCGTTTTTTACAAACTTCGGCAAATCTGTAAATGATTTTTTCAACATCCAAATCATTTTCTCGGTGAATGTTTAATAATGCGAGTCCATTTAATCGTTCTTGATTTTGAGTTGCTCTAAGACAGTGTTTCCCAAACTTATGACTTTTGTGTACCCTTTCTAAATTTTTCGTAACGCTGTGTACCACTAATAAAAAAATGAATGTATTTTTTTAAAAGCATTTTTCTTTTTTGGTACGAAGTTTTGTAGATACTAACCAGCAATCCATATTCTATATTAGGGATAAATATTATATTTTATAGAAATAATCAAAATAAGTAGAATTTATTACAAACCTTCACTATAAAGAAATTGCACAAAAGTTAAAAATCAC